CCCACCCCTGTAACCTGTCTAGGTCTGATTGCAGCCTATTCCTCTCTTCTAGCATGACCACTTCTCCCCACATCTAAGTGTCATCTGTGAATTTCAACAGGGTGCTTTTTACCCCCTCATCCAAGTCGTTGATGAAGTTGTTGAACAGTGCGGGCCCAAGGACTGAGCCCTGGGGGACCCCACTGCCCACATCACTCCAAGTCGAAAAAGACTCATCCACCACCACTCTCTGGCCCTCCACCTAATTTGCGACCCATCTGACCGTGTAGGCATCGATGCCACAGTCGCCTAATTTCTTAATGAGAATGGGGTGAGAGACAGTGTTGAAGGCCTTCCTGAAGTCCAGAAAGACTACATCCACCATGATACCCGTGTCCAAGGATTTTGTGACCTGGTTGTAGAAGGCCACCAGGCTGGTCTGACAGGACCTGCCTTGAATGAACCCATGTTTGTTGCCCCTAAGCATAATCTCCCCTGCTGGTCCCTCGCAGATGTGCACCTGGATAATTTTCTTAAAGAGCTTCCCCAGGGCTGAGGTAAGACTAACAGGCCTGTAGTTTCCTGGGTCCTCCTTCCTCCCTTTTTTGAAATGGGGAACATGTTGGCTCTTTTCCAGTCCTCCGGCACCTTGCCAGAGCACCATGAGTGCTTGTAAAGCCATGTCAGGGGTCCCACAATGACCTCTGGTAATTCCCTCAACACTCTGGGGTGGAGATCGTCAGGACCTGCTGATTTGTACATGTCTAGTCCCACCAGAAGTTCCCTGACTAGGTCCTCACTGACCCTGGGCCTGGCAGTGCCTCCCCTGGGTCCATTGGGGATCTTGGTTGGGGGGATGCCCCAGTCCCTGCTCAAAAAGATAGAGGCAAAGAAATTGTTAAAGAGGTTAGCTTTGTCATCTGGTGTGACCACCAGATTTCCTAACATATCCTGCAGAGGCCCTACGTTACCCGGTACCTTCTTTTTACCCCTATGTATTTAAAAAAGGACTTCTTGTTATCCTTGATCCGTGTCTCTAGTCCCAGTTCCATGTCCACCTTAGCCTTCCTGACAGGTCCCCTACAGTCTTGAGCAATGGAGGTATAATCCTCCTTGGTGATGGCCGCTCCCTTTCATTGGGTGTACACCTCCTGTTTAGCTTTGAGACATTCTTGGATGCTTTTGGTGAGCCATGGGGGCTTTTGAGCACTCTTTTCCCCTTTAGGATTGTCACCCTTTGGGCTTGGAGGATCGTCTCCTTAAGGAATGACCACTCTTCCTGGAGTCCCAACTCCTCTCCCCTCTGGGACCTCAGTGCCTCCAACTAGTCTCCTTACCTCATTGAAATCTGCCCTCCTGAAGTCTAGGGCTGTTGCCTTGCTGCAGGCCTTTGACACCCTGCACTGGATGGTGAACTCCAGTAGGCGATGATCGCCGTCACCCAGGTGGTCGTAAACCCACAGTCCACTCACCAGATCATCACCCATGGCCAGGACCAGGTCCAACAAGGCATTTGGGGGGACTGTGCACCTCCTGGGTTAGATGGAGGTCATGTAACTCAGCTAGAAACCTACGTGAGCGGTCAGACCTGGTTGACTGCTCTTCCCAGCAGATGTCTGGATAGTTTAGGTCACCCATGATGACCACGTCCCTTGACCTAACTGCCTCTGTAAGCTGACCTGAGAATTCCTGGTCCAGCTCTTCCCCCTGGTTGGGAGCCCTGTAGTAAACACCTACCGTTAAGTCCCTTCTCCCATGACCCAGTGCCGTTTGTTGAGAATGTGTATTGCTCTTTGATGTAGAGCACCACACCCCCACCCTTCCTCCCTGTTCTATCCCTCCTGTACAGCCTATAGCCCTTGATGTTAACTGCCCAGTCATGCGTTGGATCCCACCAAGTTTCAGTGAGCCCCACTATGTCTGGGTTTGTGTTAGCTAGGAGGAAAGCAAGTTCCTCCTGCTTGTTCCCCAAACTATGAGCATTAGTGTAGAGGCATTTAAGGCCTCCTGGAGGTGTATGCTCCGCTCCCCTAATCCCGGACTATCTGGGCCCCTGTCTTTTACCTGGGTATTTCTTGTGCTCATTGCCCATCTTGGCTGGGCTGTTCTTGTGGGTGGCTCTTGGTTCAGTGTTCCATGGCTCCCTCTATCCTCATCTTCCCCTTCCCCCCATGAGCCTAGTTTAAAGCCCGCTGGAGGAGATCGGCCAACCTGAAAGAGAACACACACTTACCTTTGGGGGAGAGGTGAAGCCCATCCCACCCGAGCATGTCTCTTGTCCTGAAGTATGGGTTGTGGTCCAAATAACTGAAGCCTGCCTTGAGACACCATTTCCGAAGCCACAAGTTGACCTCCCTGATGCAGGTCTCATGGCGTTGTCCATGTCCGCTCACTGGAAGGACAGATGAGAAAACCACCTGTGCCCCCATCTCCTTCAGCCTGCTCCCCAGAACTTGGTAGTCCTTCATCAGGCAATCAGGGCTGCTCCTGGCTGCATCATTAGTGCCCGCATGGATTAGGACCATGGAGTAGTAATAGGTGGACCAGATAATGGCTGGGATTATCTCCATCACATTCTGAATCCTCACTCTGGGCAGACAGTAGACCTCACGTGACATGGGATCCTGGTGACAGATGGGACCCTCTGTACCTCTCAGGATGGAATCACCTATGACGAGCACCCAGCATCTCTTCTTCCTGGTCAACTTGCCTCCTTCAGCCTCTTTTGTGTATGGACTGGCCTCCTCTCCAGAGATTTCCTCCTCTCCTTCCTTTTGATTTATGTGTACTGAACTTCTGTTGTATTACAGATTTGAACCAATTTCTGATCGCTTATACTGGTTTATGTGTAATTTATGTCCTTAACCTAAGAGTGTGACCTGTCCCCTTTAAGAAGCAGTAAGCTTAGGGCTAGCCAATAATCACTCACATAAGGTGGCCCCCTCCAAGGAATAGATGCATGAAGAAGCAGAAGCCAGGTTTGGCTGGATCAATTGTTTCCACATAACTGCCTCCTGAACAAAGCAAAAGCATAGCTCTTAAGTGGCTGCAGAAGAAAGACAAGTACTCCCTTCCATGGGCTAGGGGAGCCTGCCTGGATCACAGCGTGGGCCTGCAGAAGCAAGCCTGGAGACTCCTGAACCAAGGAAAAGTGCAGGGATTGGTAGGCTGAGGAAGCCTGCTTGAACAAGAGAACATACTCAAGGGAAAGGCTTGGGACTGAAAAGCTGACCAGCTCCTTATTTTGTGAAGACTCAAAATTGTGTCAGAGGTTACAAGGTGGGATTTGGGGAGAGGCTTGAGAGACCCAAGGACAGGATGCCTGCTGGGCCAGGCAGCACTCTCATGGGTATATCACCTTGATATAGAGAATGTAAACTGAGATTAATGTGTTATAACAGCAGGCAGATTGCAAGGTAAAGTGGCTCTCTCATAGGATTGCCCATGTCATAAATGTTTCCCTTCCACTCTGGCACAAGCAGGAGGGAACCCTTCCAGGCAAACAGCAGGGCTGCACCTCTCTCCGATTCCCCTTTGCTTCTTTGAACAAGACCCTTTTCTGCATCTCTGAAAGATTTGTCTCCAATTCAGAGACAGCCCCTGCAGAGGGAGGAAAAGGGGTGTGCAATACCTAGCCTGATGACTGCTGTTCCCCCATCCCCTGCCCACCAGTGTCTACTCCCCAACAGCCACCCACCTAAAGCCAGCAAAACTACCCAGGCACTTTATTTTTGTTATTGCAATAAGGGACTTAGACATTAGTAAATTTGAAAAGTGTCAGATATCTCTCATGGAGCCTCAAAGTAGGAAGACATGGTGGGAATAGCATTCCGTGTTGTGAGAAAAGAATTGTTTTATCATGGTTGGTCTAGAGACTAGGCACAGGGCAGTAAGAAGGTCTGCTTTTTCTGATTTTCCTTAGTATATAATATACTGAAGAGAGGCATATCGTGAGGCTGTCAAATCTTCAAAGAAAACAACAAAAACGAATAAGGGGGGAAATACTGAATTCATCCCCAAAAAAGGCCAAAATGGGGTAGATGTTTCTAGAAAGAAACAGGATGCTGACAATGCAAAAGCAGGCATCTTTAATGGAGCTGCTTCTGCTACACACAAACAGTGCACCTCAACTTCCTAATGATCTTCAAAATAGAAACCATATCACACTGGGACACCTGTAGCAGGACCTTCCTCTACAGGTGGCTGTGGCACCCCCTTGCAGCCACACTACTCCCGTTTCTCACTCTGTCTATCCAGGGAACCACCCCACTTCCACCTACCATGCCTTTGATGGCAAATTGTATTAATTTAGGAGGCCTCCCTCAACAGCCAGAGGAAGTTTTGAGGTGCTTCACACCACCTTGCTCATTATCAGGTCACTTTTGTCTGGCTGTCTTTTAGCTCTAGCCCTGGCATCTCCCTACAACTGGCCCTTTCTCTAGGCTCCTGTTAACAGTCCCAAGGCCTCTGGTAGCCCACTCTCATGAAGTCCAAGGGAACTCTCAGGATCCATTTCCCCCATACCGAGGGCTGTGAGATGTCAAATTCAAATAATGCAGTCCATACTCACCTGCTGGGTATTTCCATTGGCCTCCCATCTCCCCTAAAGCCATCCCAAGCCTCACAGCTAACACAAACTCCAAAAAACAAAACATAAGCAAGCATCTTGCTGGTCTCTCTGTAGCCCTGAAGAATTCCTTGCCTATGGCTAGTATAGACAAGTCTGAGGCTCCAGCCCAGAAACCAGTCTTATATAGTCCTATGCTCCTCCCCATTCCAGTCACAGATGGCCTTCCCCACCCTACTTTGCATAATGGGGCACGGGGGGTTTACGTTAGTATCTGCAACTTCCAGTTCTGCCTCTAGCCTCTCTGCAGCTTGTAGTTCAGCCTGCTTGCTGCAGCAATGTACTCTCTCTGCTCAAGTAACAGGGGTTAGGAGCCCCTGTTTATAACCTATTTCAATCCAGCTACAGTTGAGGTGTCAGAGTAGGCCCCATATGAGCACATGACCTGCAGGACGGTGGTCATATGAGCACTTTTTATTGGCCATCCTTCAGTTACATTGGTATTAAGTTTGTACTGTGTTTTTCTCTAATTGTTCTGTGTAGGTTCAATAAGCAATACTCCTTTTCTTTTTATCAATACATTCCTTTTGGTACAAGTCAGCTGAAAAATTTCACTGAAGTACAGCTCACCCCATAAGTGACACAACATTATGCTATGCTATGTTATTCCTAATGAAATCAAATACATCCAATTTACTTGTGGAATTACCCACAACTACCCCCTCGACTCCAAGAAGGAGCAGAATGTATTAGTGACCTTATTTTCTTGATCTCACAGGCATTTTGCAGAGGCACCATCTCTGGCTAGCTATGCCATTCCAAAAGTCTCGGCCTCCAGCTCCTAGTCATCCTCCATGATCTTGTCCTGGCTCTCACAGATGTGTAAAATATAGCAGGAACTTAATATGCAAACCGTTTAATGATGAGAAGCACCCAGCTGTGCTATGACACATTGCCACCTACCCTTTAATCTCCCAAAAGTGCATTCCAAGGACATTCTGCAGCTACTCAGGGTAATGTTAAAACACTCCTCTCTTGCCCAGGCATACAGTGAAACAGTTCAAAAGCCAAGGAAGCAGAGGATAAGCTGAGCCACAGAGGATGACAGCAGAAATCCAAACTCCATAGAGCTCTGGAAAGCAAACATCCCCTTGCTTGTTCCAGGAAACCAGCATACACCAGCATTACAGGGCTTTCCAGACCACCCTACGTTATTATTGACGACTCTTCCAGGGTGATCATCAATCAGGCCTTCTTGCACCATGGGCAAATCTCTCTCCTGGTTGATGAAGTTTTTGGCTTTGTATGGGGGGTTGGGAGTAGGGAGGGGCAAGGGATAAGCAAGTGCCTTTGTTCCATTAATAGTCACCAGACAGTTTGAAAACCATTTTTTATAAAAAGTCATCCATCACCTCTGGGTATTGCCAGGCTTTATGAAACAGCACAGCAGCAGTCTCCGCATAGCACTGCAAACCTCCCTGACAACAGTCCCAGCAGTTGATCGGTGACCATCTTGTAACAGTTGGGGTGAAAGCTTCCAGATCGTGATGGGAACCATTTCTCCAGCCTGAGGGATGAGCTTTTGCTGATGTGCTTCCCAATGTAGCTCTGGGGTGAGCTCTACAAAGTCTTCTAGAGAAGTGGCCTTTGTCGTCATGAAGTTCTTTCATCACTGCTGCTTGGGTCTGCGTCACTATCCTTTCCCACCAAGTCCCAAGTAGATACTGGACCTAAAAGAAGCACTACTCCAGATTAATGCTCTGCAAAAGTAACTCCCTTCTTCTGCTCCATTAGCTATAGAATCTCCTTCAGAATCCCCTTTAGTAGAGGCTTTCAAGCATTTTTCTGGAATGATTTGTGAACAGTACATCCTGCATTCATGCAGGGGTTTGGACTTACAGGTCCTTCCTAACTCTATGATTCTCTAATTACACAGTTCTGTATCCCAAACCAGGAGGTTCCCAAACCAATGGAATCATTTCATTCCCATGCAGGACAGTTTTATAGGCTTTTTGAGCAACTGCAGCAGCACAAGACATCTAAACTTAGGCATATTTTTAGTTTCAATATATTTTATCTTTAATTTACGGCTCCAATCAAAACTGAAGCTTTTAAAAAGTACCTAAACGCCCTTAAATCAGGGAAGAGGCTTTTGCTTGTGTGTCTGTCTGTTCTCTGCTGGAGCACACCAGTTCTGCCTTCAGGTTTATCCCTAAAACCCAGTGGAACACATGAGATTACCTGAATACAATTAACAGTTAAATTCAACAAACAGTTTTAGCTATCCCCAGGCACAGCCCCAAAAAAGGGGTTAATTTTTCATTGCAAACTAGCAAAACCCATTAGTAAAACCATACTAATTAGTTTATCTAAAAACTAAACTGTAAAAAAAATAACAATGCTTCCAATTCAAAATCTAGGTTCCAAGATTATATACCTTCAGCAAGGGCCAGACATGGGTGACTGTAGGCTCTGCAGTGGAGGGGGGCACTTCAATTAGGGCAGCTCTGAGAGCCACTTTTAATTAAAGCACCTGCAGCATCATGTGTATTCAGCATTCTGCACTTCAAAATGTCAGATGAGCTTTAGTTAAAGCACCCCCACCACCATTTTCAAATGTGGGGCACTGAATACATGTGACACAGAGGCTGCTGGAGCACACTAATTAGCACGTCAGCAGCCTTGCAACAGACCCAATTAATTGAGTCTGCTCCAATGCATGCTAATTAGCATGCAATAGAGCAGAGGTCCATCCCATGTATAGGTGCCCATCATGAACAGCTGGTAGTGGTTTGCACACTGCAGATTCATCACCATGTTGCTGTGACAACATGCCATAAATTTGATGTTAAAATGAATGTAATCTCACATGTCAAAGAAACAAAATTTGTTTAAAAAAAAAAAAAGTTATCCATCAAAATCTGTCTAGGCAGAATCACATCCCAAATGGGAAAATCAGCTGCTATATTTATAGATTAATTCCTTTACATAATAATACTGAGAACTTACACAGCACTTTTTATCTTAGTACTTCATCTTCAAAGCTCCTCATATTCAGTTCTTTACTCACTAAAGTTAACTCACTAAAACTCTCAATATTTTCACTTACACAAAAGAGCCTAAGTGATTTGCTCAAGGCGAGAAAAAGAATATTTCAGACCTGGGACTGGAAGTTGGGGGGAGGTTCTGCTTCCCAGTTCTGTACTGGGCTATACTACTTCTTGTAAAGCTTTAAGAATACATCACTGTCTACTTATCCTAGGATTTTTTACTGTTGCCTACCATTATAAAACCGAGTACTTTCCATGTACAATCAAGATCAATAGTAGAGTGCCAATCTCCCCATCCCAGGTAAAAAACTGCTTGGGAAAGATTTTTTATTGTAGTAATTTACTTTTGTTATTATTTTTCCAAGAATGTTTGGACAGACTGCAGAAGTGAGGTGGCTGGACATGAATATTGACCACTTCAAAGATGATCAAGTTGTTTGGTCTTCACATCTATTTAGCCTTTAGCTTCTTTGTTCAGGTGACTAACTTTCCTTCCTCAGGGCATTTGCTTTTAATAGGAACAATGAAGCATCTGAGTGGTAGTGCAAGATGGGGGGTTTTCGCATCCTTAGGTAGAGATCCAATTAGCCAATCTGAATATCAGAAAGGATGTGACCTGTATTTTGGTAGACCATGCTGACAGAGTACACTCATTTGTATATTAATTGCAGACGTGAAAAGTATGATCCTACTTAATGAATTCATGCCTATCTTATTGAAAGAAACTGATTATAGGGAAATTAGGCCAAAGCAGAAGCCATAAATGACAGCAGAACTGCACCCAGAATTACAGCACTATGTGCTATGTGAGTGGGATGAAAAATACACGTGCTTTCAGATGCTGCTTCCTCTATGTAATATGTTCTTTGAAAACTTAGGCTGCTTTGTATTTACCTTGTTTCTAAACGTAGTACAAAACACACATATACCTGGATACCTTCAAGTCAGCCGGCCCTGACAATCTTCACCCCAGGGTACTCAAGGAGCTGGCGAGCATCATAGCCCAGCCTCTAGCATGGATCTTTGAAAACTCTTGGCGCTCTGGTGTAGTGCCCGAAGACTGGAAGATGGCCAATGTGGTGCCTATCTTCAAGAAAGGGAGGAAAGTGGATCCAGCTAACTATAGGCCCATCAGCCTGACTTCTATCCCGGGGAAGATCTTAGAAAAGTTTATTAAAGAGGCCATCCTTAATGGACTGGCCGACGTCAACATCTTAAGGGATAGCCAGCACGGGTTTGTTGCGGGTAGGTCTTGCTTGACCAATCTCATTTCCTTCTACGACCAGGTGACCTATCACCTGGACAAGGGAGAAGAGACTGATGTCATATATCTTGACTTCAAAAAAGCCTTCGATCTGGTGTCCCATGATCGCCTCTTGGAGAAACTGGCCAATGGTCGCCTTGGGTCCTCCACGATCCACTGGCTGGAAAATTGGCTCCGGGCTCGGACCCAGAGGGTAGTAATTGATGGAAGTCACTCATCATGGTGTCCTGTGACCAGTGGGGTCCCCCAAGGTTCTGTCCTTGACCCATACTGTTCAACATCTTCATTAATGATGTGGACACTGGAGTCAGAAGCGGACTGGCCAAGTTCGCCAATGACACCAAACTTTGGGGCAAAGCATCCATACCAGAAGACAGGCAGGTTATCCAGGCTGACCTGGACAGGCTCAGCAAGTGGGCGGACGAGAATCTGATGGTGTTCAACGCCGATAAATGCAAGGTTCGGCTAGTAAAGCAACCAAAACGCTGGCTTGCATCCATAGATGCTTCTCAAGCAAATCCCGGGACGTCATTCTCCCCCTGTACTTGGCCTTAGTGAGGCCGCAGCTGGAGTACTGTGTCCAGTTTTGGGCTCCACAATTCAAAAAGGATGTGGAGAAGCTTGAGAGAGTCCAGAGAAGAGCCACGCGCATGATCAGAGGTCAGGGAAGCAGACCCTACGATGACAGGCTGAGAGCCATGGGGCTCTTTAGCCTGAAAAAGCGCAGGCTCAGAGCTGATCTGATGGCTACCTATAAGTTTATCATGGGTGACCACCAGCATCTGGGGGAATGTTTGTTCACCAGAGCGCCCCAAGGGATGATGAGGTCGAATGGTCACAAACTACTTCAAGATCGTTTCAGGCTTGACATAAGGAAGAATTTCTTTACTGTGCGAGCCCCCAAGGTCTGGAACAGCCTGCCACCGGAGGTGGTTCAAGCGCCTTCATTGAACACCTTCAAGATGAAACTGGATGCTTAGCTTGCTGGGATCCTATGACCCCAGCTGACTTCCTGCCCTTTGGGCGGGGGGCTGAACTCGGTGATCTTCCGAGGTCCCTTCCAGCCCTAATGTCTATGAAATCTATGAAATATACAAAGATTTTTGCTATTGTTAACAAAGGATGCCCCCTTCCTTTTCTTCCTCCTCTATTTGTAACATTTGGTTTTGCAAAACAGATGTCTCCGGTTCTTTCCATTTGTATTAATACAATTTACATTTAGCACCCAAAAGTACTTCACAAATTAAAATGACATATGGGACATAATCCACCCATTATTATGTTCACGTTGAGAGAGAAAGATGCCAGTTGCTTAAAAAACACAGATCAATTCTAAATAATGGGTTAAGCAGGAAGTATAGAATTCTGTCTAAGATTTTCAAAAATCCAGTGTAGGATCATATACCCATATATAGGTACCTACATTTGATTTTGCTAGCCAACAAATATTAAGCTGCTATCAGTGAAGTTATTGCAAATCCTTTATTCAGGTGTCTGAAGGTGCCTGTACACATGCAGGGATGCTGTTCTAACACACGGTAATTACAGCATGTAACATGGTTACATTCCTGGCCAGGTCTGTGTTTCCACTCTTCCCCCGTCTCTGGGCAATCCGCACGCTCTACTCATCTGCCACACCTTGATGAAAATGAAGTTTAGCTGTTACGCGAGCAGGAGACTACCTTTTGTATGCCCTGATGACTAGGGCCATAAGTGCACTCTCTGACCACCCCTGTACATGCCCCATACCTCGCAGATGTTCCACTGTGTGTTACCTCTCCAGCCTAGGTCCAGAGCAAATTGGGCACACAGTTGTAGCTCTACCATACTACCCCGGAGGGTCGCTGTCATGCCACCATGCTCTCACCGGGGTCCCATTCACTCCACCAGCTCTCACCTGGCTTCTTTCATGATGCCCTCTCTCCTGGGCCACATTCATACCACCCAGCCTCACCCAGCTTCAGGCTTGTCTCTCTACACCTCAGTCAGCCCCAGCACAGTCTGTTGGGCGTCTCCTGCTGCCCTCACCTGAAGGTTTGCTGAGTGACTCTACAACTGTTAGCCTACTTCGCTCCTGGCCAATCTCCGGGCCTCCGTGCCCCCACCGGGCCTCTGCCCCTCTCTCAGGGCCTCTACTCACTTTCCCACTCACAGGGCCTCTCTCTCCATTGCCCCTCTCTCCCTGAGTCTCTCTCCATCGCCCCTCTCTATTGCCTCTCTCTCTCTCAGGGTCTCTACTCACCCCCCACCCCAGGCTTTACCCTGCTGCCTGGGCATGGCTCCAGGTCACTCCTCCAACCTGCACTCTGGCTCAGGGCCCCTAACAAGCCTGGGCTCCCCTGCTCTGCTGGAACACCACCAGGGATGTGGGGCTGGGGTTATCAGGTGCCCCTTCCCACCTCTCAGCAGTGAGGTAACTGGTCTGACATTTCCTGGAGGCTCCCACACCACTAGGAGCCCCACCAGGCCACTCTTCCCTGGCAGGGTGCAGTTTCACATCTTACCTCAGACAACAGGAGCCTCCACCTCCCCAGAGCCCCTTCTCTTACCTCCAGGTCCCTGAGCAGGAGCCCAGTCAGCTGATGTTGCTGCCTCCCTTGCTAGCAGCCAACTACCCTCTTTATATATCTGGCCTGTGTTTGACAATGACTGCCGCAATCACCCACCTGGCAGCTGCCTGCTCCAAAGGTGCACTGCTACACAGCACATTAGATAAGACTCAATTAATCTGCTGAAGTTAGGGCTGCCAACCCTCCTGGATAGGCCAGGAGTCTACTTGAATCAGCATCGATCTACCGGTGACTATTGAAAGCAAGCCAGGAGATTGATATTGTGCACGGGGTTGAACAGTACAATTAA